AAAACTCTGCTCATTTATATGTAAATTAGTCAAGTTATTTGGGCTCGAATCGAGTTTTGCTCATACTCGGGCTCGGTTCATTTTCTATACAATCTGAACTTGAATAATTTTTTAAATTCATTTAAAAAAATGAGTTCATCAAATTTAGGTTTAAGGTCGTACAACTCGGCTCAATTATAACCCACATCCTCAAATAGTAATTGGCGTGCATAATATAAGAAGTGTGAGATGCGACTTGAGAGATGGAATGAATAGAGAGGTTACAAAGGGGCACTTGAACTAAAGACACAAGGACTTGACTACCATACGAAGAAAGTATCTCTAATTTTTATTATTTTAATGTGTGTTTTTATTATTTTTATAAGTTATTTTATAGCCGTTGTATTTTTACCATATTTATGTTAATTATTTTTATTATTTTTTTGGTACGAAAAAATTTATCATATTTATGAATGTTTTTATAACATTTGTGAATTTTTTATCACTATTATGGTAATTATTTTTATTATTTTTTTTGGTATCACAATAATAATGGTAAAAAGATCTACAAATATGGTAAAAGTTAAGAGTGCAACTCAATCGGGTTGGACAGGTTGAGAGGTCAACCCTAACTGAACCCTACGTATATAATTTTTTAATTCAAACCTGAACTCAACCCGAGTCTTGTCCAAATTAAATTCAAATGAGTTCGGGTTGAATTCAAATTTTTTAATTCGGGTTAATTCCGGATTTGAATTTGAATTTGAATTGAACTCGAATTACATATCAGACCAATGAAAAAACCAAAATACCATAGCCACTGCCACTGCTACCACAACCACTGCCCATAACCACCGCCACTGCCACCACACCACCTTCCATCGTTACCACAGCCACTGCCCACACAACCACCACAACTACTGCCTACACAGTCACTGCCACCACACCAGATCTGACCATTCACCATCCTTGTGGTCTTCGGCGCAGATCATGGTGGATGCAGCGAACATGGATCTATTTGATTCAGAGAGAGAAATTCAAAGGCCGAGGAAGGAAATTGCAGATCATTGTGTCGGACAAGTGGGTTCCAATAATATGCCCTCAACAGTGTGGCCATCTGAGGAGAGAAATGGCCATGCTAATGGGCATCTGAAAGTTGAGAACAATTTGCTAGCTTCAGTGGCCAGTGCTTTATATACTTGCAATTATCCGTGTCCGAAAGAACGGTGTTACTCATAAATTAGTTACAAATAATTATTCATACATAAATATAAAATAAAATATAACATTGTAATAAATGACGAACAAAATGAGTTCGCTAATATTTTTTATAACATCAATTTACATACATAGAATATATTTTCATATTAAATTGTTACGCCACGAAAATTATATTATAACTACTGAATCATAATAATTCAAACATCTGAAAAAATATATCAATTAACAATATTCAATGTTCTGTTTTTGATTTAAAATTTACGATTTTAAATTTCATAATCAACTTTATCTAAATAATAATATAATTCATAAAAAATAGAATGAAAATTAAAACAATACTCCCACAAATAAACTAAGTTTAAAGACGATGTCAAATGACCAAATATAACTATCAGAAATTCAACCGACTTCCAAAAGATACGACCTGACAATTGAATTTGTATAATTTGAGATTATGGTAGTGTTTTTAATTTTATATCATTCTTCTTGGTTATTTATTTTCTTAGTATATTTTTTTTAAACTAAACGTTATTTAGTATTGGATTATTTAGTAAAGATTATTACTTCGTATTGTTTACTAAATATTAAATTTGTATGATTCGTGATAATAATATTGCTTATAATTTTGTGTCGTTTATCTTATTTGTAATTTTGTATCATTTTTCTCAGGTATTTAGATTTTAATTATTTAGTAAATATTGTTGTTTTGTGTTGGTCACTAAATATTGAATTTGAATGATTCATGTTTGTATATGAATTTAATCTTGTATATTTTTAATGTTAAATATATATATTTTTAATATATTTTTTGATATCTGAGTTGCCCAATAACTTGAATTTAATCTTGTATATTTTACATGTTAAGAATATTTTCTTTGTTAAATTAGATTTTTTGCAAGTTATGCTTTGTTTTATTGATTATGGAAAAAAAATAAAATTGACTATTAAATTTGTATGATTTGAGTTTATAGTAATTCTTTTAATTTTATATCATTTTTCTCTGTTATTTATATTCTTAGTATATTTTCTTAAACTAAACGTTATTTAGTATTTGATTATTTAGTAAAGATTGTTATTTTGTGTTATTCACTAAATATTGAATTTGTATAATTCGTGTTCATAGTATTGCTAATAATTTTGTATCGTTTTTCTCGCTTAAAATTTTGTATCATTTTTTCGGGTATTTAGATTAGGATTATTTAGTAAATATTGTTACTTTGTGTTGTTCACTAAATATTGAATTTGTATATTCGTGTTTGTATATTTTAAATGTTAAGCATATTTTCTTTAATATATCTGTTGATATTTGAGTTGTCAAATAACTTGAATTGAATCTTATATATTTTACATGTTAAACATATTTTCTTTGTTAAATTATATTTTTTGCAAGTTATGTTTTTTTTTATATTGATTATAGAAAAAATAAAATTGGCTATTGAATTTGTATAATTCGTGTTTGTAGTATTGCTTGAATGAAAAAGAGAGATACAGAGAAATATTTTCGTGATATATACTATCTATTTAATATTTATTACATAATTTTTCATTAGAGAGAGATACGGAGGAATATTTTCGTAATATACTATCTCTCTCTATGATAGTGATATATACTATCTGTCTACAGAGATGTAATATTTGCTTAAATCAAACATTATATAATATTTTCATGATATTTTCGTGAGATATAGATAAAAATATTGTGAAAAATTGATACTTTTTGCGTGAATTGAGCGTAAGAGAAAGATACAGAGGAATGAGAGAGAGAGATATTTGCTTGATTTAAGAAAAATATTTAGAGGAATTAAATTTTGGAAACTATAAATTTTGAGCAGCAAAAATATTTCAAAAGAGTTAATGTGGTACATCGGATCAAAACGATTTGAGACGTCAATAGGTCGAGACAGTTTGAGATAATATCGTCCGTTAGATGATGCTTTTTTTAGTTATGAAACGATCTAGACCACTCTTTGTCTCCAAAATTTAAATTTGTTATACTTTATTATATAGATGTATATATTTTATTTTAATTTGTCGGATTCAGATTGAATTCGATAACCCGAGGGCTCAACCCGGGTGTTGCTCGAATTCAATTTGGGTTAGGATTTTTTAAACTCAAGCCTAACCCAAAATTTTAGAATTTCAACCCAAAATTTTAAAACTTCAACCTAGGCTTTATTTTTTTCGGATTGAACTCGGGTTGACCCGTATAATTTGTACCCCTAATAAAAATAATCACAAATATGATAAATAAAAATATGGTACCGATTTTTTTTTTCCAATACCATAGTTAAATCAAAGACATAATTGAATTTGTTGTCGTTTTCATAAAGAATTCTGTGGTGCAACCATTGCTTGCACTATTAGTTGGCAATCTCCTTGTACCATGAAACCAAAAACCCTAATTCTAAATTTTTAATTTTATGTCACTTACGTATACACATGTACGTGTAAATGTGTGGTTGAGTGTGAATTGACCTTTCAACTTATCCAATCTCTTCCTGAGTTATACCCTACTCCCTTCTTTAAAAAATCCATTCATAGAATACCCACAAAAATTAATTGAAAAAAAAAATTGAGGAAAGACAATTCTGAGAAATGTTGGGAGAAAATCCCACGAAAAGCCATTTTTGAAAAGCTATCCTCCCACCTAACTTCCTTATAGTGAACTTTCCAAAATTTCGTTCTTGTTGGAGAAAAAAAAGAGTTTGGTTCGAGAACGGACATTTGAGTTACAAAAGTTCATACGACTAATAAGTCTACTAGACACGGTCTAAACCAATTTCTCTGCATTCTCCTTCGAAGAAAATTATATTCTCTTTAATTCCCACCCACCTATTAAGTACCTATAAATACTTCATGTCATCTACGCCATTGTATTTCAGTACCATTTGGTGATTTTCTATCATTATCCTACTAAAGAAATAAATGGAAAACAAGCTAGTCCCAGTTGCTGAAGTTAGTGATGATTCCTCCTCTTGCCAATAAAGATCATCGGAGGTTGATTTTTGTACTTTTTTTCTCTTCACCTCTTTCTCTCTCCTACGAATAGCGATAGTCGATGTATTAAGTTTTATGAGAAAAGTTAATGAGACTCGTTGATATCCAACGATTCATTGATTTAATAAACAAATTTTGGCAAATAATATGGTAAGAATATCAATGTTGTTATTAAATCCTCTCCATTTATTGTTGGTTGTCCTTATTTCTACTCTTCAATCATAAAAAAGGATTGATTTTAAATTATTTTCCTATAGTTTGACCCAATAACCTAAATTAACTTCTTATATTTTATAAATCTACTAGTTATTGCCTGTGCTTAAAGGCACAAAGTAATAAAAAATGATAAACAATAAATATATTTGTATTCATATCTAAAATTAAATTACAAACATAGAAAAGAGATAAAAGAATTTAAACATCGGTTTATAGTAGGGATGAGAGATAGTGGGTGATAGTGGTGGTGGTAGGAGACAATAATAGTTATGGTGGCGGTGGTGGTGGTGGTAGTGGGCTATTTCTTTGCAAAATTGTGCTCAATTTCATATGTGGCAATTTCGGATCTCTTCGTTAGTTGGGGGAAGAATCCGACAGCGATGGTGGTGGTGGGGGCGACGACAGTGGTGGTAGTGGCAATGGTGGGGGGTGGGTGGTGGTGGTGGTGGTCGGGGTGATGGCGGTGACGACGACGACGGTGGTGGTGGTGGTGGCAGCGATGGTGGTGTTGGTAGCGATGGCGGTGGCGGTGGGGGTGGAGGTGGAGGTGGCGGCAGTGGTGGTGGTGATGGAGTTGGAGGTGGTGGTGGCGGTGGCGGTGGCGGTGGCGGGGGGTGGCGGCGGTGGTGGTAGAGGTACTGGTGGAGTGGTCCAAAACAATATTTTTTTTTAAAGTACCAATAAAAAATAATTCTTATAAACACTTTTAAAAATTATTTTAAACACATCCTTAGAGACCCTATTTTTTCTTATTAAATTTGGAGTTTTAATATTAACCGTTAGATTAACTTTAAAATAAAATTTAAAGTGATCTCAACCACGAATAGTAAAAATCATTTTATTTATCTTTTGAGATTTAAATTGTAAGCTACTTTATTATAAATCTATATATAACTTATTATATATAGTTTTTCAAACTATAAAAAATTCTGTTAAAATTAACAGTCAAAGATTGAAAATTAATTAGTATAATAAATTTCATGTCAAAATGATTTTTCTATATATATGGTTTTTTTTTGTCTCTAGAATGAATCAATCATGCATTATTTAAAAATTTTAGTTGGTATAAAACTTTTAAGAAGAAGAATACTAAAAAATTAAGAAAAAAGATAAAGCTTATTATTATCTTTTTATCGCTTTTCTTGATCGATTCTCTATTTGCATTGAAATAACTACAGTAATGTGTAATCTCTCTCTGTCTCTCTCTCTCTCATGGCAAATGCCAGAGCTCTCAGAATTATTAGCAAGGGTGCGTCAATCTAATCAAGTAAGTAAGTTATCTGATTTCCACCCTCACTTCATACGGACTAATCTCAAGCAAAAAAAATACAGACTAATGTTAATCACTATAAGAACTAGGGTCCTTTTTAGACAAATTTTTTGTGGCAACTATGCTCTCCGTCACAAATAATCGTGTTTTGAATAATTTTTTTTTTGGTAACGGTATTGTTGTCATAAAAGAGTTATGTGCTGCCCGCAAATATTATTTGAGACGGCCTGTTACTGTCGTAAATACTTTTTTGACAATGAGCACAGCTGTCACAAAAAGTTTATCTCAAAATATCCTAATTCTTGTGGGAATCAAGCAAGTGTAGATTGTTTTGGTACTTTGGGTAGGAAATGCAATGTCATATCACACAAAATACGCTTAATCAAAATGGCGACTCTTCTAAGTGAAAAAAAATAAATTATATTTTGATCCCCTCAACTATGGATTCTGT